ATTAGTAAGTAAAAGTATTTTTGTGCACTGGATGAATCAAGGAAGGTGTGTGTGGATAAAAGCAAGATCTACTCCCATCCAATAGAAAATTTTCGCGATTAAAATCGATCAACCTTTCGAAAACCCACAGGCCTAATAGAAATCAAACCGATTCTAATCGATTGTAATTTAGATTTTGTTCTGCAATAGTTATGGTGAAAATTCTCATGCAATTGACTTCAGCCCGATTTTGATCAATATTTTACACTGTTGTACTGGTTTGTAAACAATAAAACGAAATACATCTAAAAAGAGATCTTTCTCATGCAAGCAATGACGAAGAAATAGATTAAAATCAAATCTTTTCCGTTTTTTTTTTTACATTAGAATTATCTGCTCTTATTCTATGATGCCTGTTAATGTGTTTTAATCTCATATTATCTGTTAATCAATTTTAATCTATTCTTACTTGTTAATCGACTATAATAATATGCATGGAAGATAGGCTCTTTTCTCGGTATTCAAATGCAAAACTTAAAGCTTTTGTGATTTTTTTAAAATTACTCGTGTTTAGAATACTTGAAGTTTCACCAAGCTAACACTTCGGCAACTAAAGTAAAGCTGGAACTGGTATATCAATTGTTTCAAATTGAGATTGTGCCATTACATTAGTAATTAATTAAAATCGATTAAGATTAATCAAAAATATATTAATCAATTCTGTGCAACATTTTATCTTTTTCTATGTAATAGTTTTTTGTACGTAAAGCACTTTTGTAATTAGTATCCTCATAGATAGTCCCCATCTCATATGTATATCTTACTTACGAAAATAATCCGTTTAAACTGCTTCAATACTTTTTGAAATCGATTAAACACGATTCTTGGTTTGGATGGAGTTGCTGTCTACCAATGATAAAATGCTAGTGAATCGCATTTTTGATGGATCCGTTTTGATAGATAGTCTATCTCAAACAACACAAGGTTCTTAGAAGATTTTTTCGTCTGCAGAACTTTATAGAGCACGTCTTGCAGATCATTTTGATGAAAAATTCAAATTAACTCAACGCTTCATAGTACTAGGATCAAAATACTCAAAAACTTCAGCTATTTCTGATGACTGCCGAGCGGTAGTTGATATTTTCGAGTATTTCAATCCTAACTTCATGATTCATTGAGTAAATTTGAATATTTTTTCACGAAAAGGACTAGCATAAAGAGCTCTACAAAGTTCTACAGACGAACACATTTTCTAAGAACCTTGGGTTGGTTATGGTTGACTACCTATGGAAGTATCCATGAAAAACACGATTCGCAAGCATTTTATCGTTAGTAGTATTGATTAAAAATAATTGTAATCGAATTATTCTATCTAAATTATGTTTTGGAAAATGCATTTATATTGCTCACAATCATGTACATCATGTTTGTTTCAAAACATCTGTCCTAATAAATATTACATGACATGTTTATCTACTATAGTTATTGTAGCAATTATTACTACGATCGAAATTCCTCATATTAGTACTAAACATTTGGTTTTGTTTAGACCTTACTGATATCCGTCACAATCAGTTGAACAGATAAAATAACACATAGCTCAGAAGTAAAAAATGAAGCATCAAGATTATCTCTTCTGAAGTATCATATTTATAAAGATATTATCATAGCAGATAATTCCTAACAACTACTTCTAGAAAAAAACTCAAGTGATCTGAATGACTCCCATATAACTACTTCAATTGATCTACAATACGGTTGCAAATTATAAATAAGATCAAATTGGCTCGATGAAATCCATCTAATATCTGCATTTTTTCATCGATCTTTACATAGAAGACAAATAGACACTCTTTTGTGAAAAAGTTCCATTATGTGCTGTATTTAAAAAATCGTGATGCTTCTTCAAGTGTGTGAATAAACACGATTGGTTTGATCTTCCAATCTTAGATTTCAGTTGAATTCGTCAAGATTTAAATTGTTTTTCAATGCTTTTACATCATTAAAAAATTCTATTGAAAGTTCTCAAATTCACTGCTATGTTAGATTATTAAAAGTAAGTTGAACTATTTTACGTGTCAGAGCTATTTTAATCAAGACTATCGATTGCATATGCTAAAACATCCTCAATTGGAGTTTTCTTGACAGTACCTTCTAGTGATTAAAATGTCTCACTTATATCTGCCGTCGTTTTTATGCTCTTGGTAGTGACGGTTGACATTCAATTTTAATTTTATCGTTAGTCTAATAATGTACGATATTCAAATATACTTACTCAATAAGTGATACTGAAGTAAACGAAATTTGCTTTGTATGTTTGCAGTCGATTTTGCTTCGTATTTATCATTGACAAAATTTGGTTGGTTTTTTCCAACTTACGTATGTTTACATGAATCAATGGAGCATGACATTGTTATGACATAGGCACTTTTTTTTATCAATGCGTTCATCATCAAATGTTTGCTTGTTCTTTCAATTTTCTTCTTTTTGTTTTGCCTTCTCTTGCGTTTTATGCTGTGGTGATGAGAAAATATGCACTGATATTAGCACGCACGAATGATTACATTTTAATCGCGAAATTTCTCTCTCATCAGTAAACGAAAAAATAATGAGCGGGGTGTAATGTATGGCAGCTTTTTGCGTTCCAATTTTTCGTCATTTAATACGCTTCATCAAAAAAAAGAAATATACCAAAAGATGCAACATGAAAACCTCTACAATCTAAAAACTAAAGCTTATTTTAATCCTGTATTTGTTGAAAACAAAAAGTGCAGAATTAAAATAAGCTTTACCTTCTAGATTTTAGAGGTGTTTTTGCTGTAATTTTTGGTATATTTTGTTTTGTAATAAAGGGTATTGAGTGATGAAAAAATGAAATACTAAATGGGACCACTCATTATACCGTACTTATTAGGTTTTTGATCTCACAATTGTATGAGAAATGCTAGAAGTGCGTTGTCTAACATCGGATTTCTTTACAATTATAACTCGTTCTATCGACTATACCAAAAGTTTTTCGCTGAGAAGAATCGATCAAAAGAATTTCGTTTTGTAATTCAATAACCTATGTTCCATTTTGATGATGGTTCTCAAACAAGTATCAAAATCATGCACAAAATCATAACAATAAATTTCAAATACAACGTGGTCCAGATAAAGTTTGTGAAACAGCACAAACATGATGAATGTTTTGAATTAATTACAGCTAGTGACTGCAGCAAGCAACTGATGCTTCATTGTTCGAATGATTTGTTTCACTAGAGATTTTCACCTTTGGAGGGCGGATCTGCTTATTCCTCGCACAGGAAGAAATCACCTAAGTTTTCAAGAATTGTTTGAAGCATAGTGTCTGCGTCAGTCTTCGGCTCAAGAGTCGTCCAGAACGATGAGTCAATGATTATCACATCGTCTTTGTTCCATTTCTACTCAGGTGTGGATGTGACTGTTTATACACCAGGCTTCTCCAGAACCACAACATCACGCACACATATATTATCAACAAAATTAGAATGTAAGATTGAAGACAACAGCCTTCTGTTCATACCAAAACACGTATATGTCGAAGTAAGCAGTTTTCGACAAAAATATCTTGCTATCTAACTGACAACGGTTCATATGTGGTATTTTTTCTCATTTAGCGGCAAGACCAAACATGTTTTAAAAGTTTCTGGTATGGTGAACTGTTTTCAGTTCGTGCTAATATTGAAGAATAATCGTTTTACCTTTCATATGCAACTTGTCTCATTTAAGGCGGATAGAATCACTTGGATTCTGTTCTATTTTTTTGAATTCTTTAAATTTCTTTGAGTCATCGATTTTTGGACCGTGGATGTGTTACTATATTCCGTGACATTTGCTGGTAATTATTGTGTAAAAACAATATTGTTCATCTCTAACAATTCATCGGACAGGCTAGCAGGGACTCTGCTATTCTTCACTAATAGAGTTTCTAAATCTTCATAAAAAGAAAACAGTTTAAAAAAATACATGAAGATTATTTATTTAGTATTATAAATCAATTCAAAAAATTATTTTTAAACTTAAGTAAGAGCTTGGATCAAATATTTTATAAACGAAACTCACTTTACAGAATGTTAGCTAAGTATAATTCATAAACCATCTTTGTTTAACGTGCTTGTTTACCGATTATCGTCAGGACTAATTTATTGTCTCCAACTGAATGATATGGTAAAGAAATATTACAACAGTCAACCTTCATTCTTCAATAAATATTTCTGTTGTACTGAATGATTTTGATGTGAATGAATTCTGTGTTTGTGACAATGATATTGAATTATTTGCATTTGTTAATATATCAGAAATATCGAGAATTGTACATTGACTTTTTCGAGTTTATTATCATTTTTTGGCAAACTATTAAGATTTGATGAATTGACTGGCTATATCAGCATCACTAGAAACTTGAATTACAGAGGATATTTTCTTGTTCTTGTCTCGAAAACTTGTTGAAATATCAGTAAAATCGATAAAGCAATTTGTTTTGTAGAAAGAGACCATGTTTGATCTTTCACTTTTTTGTAAAATATTCGAGAATCAATCTAAGAGATCATCTTGATGACACTTACTGTGTATAATCTAAAGTTTGGCACACTAATATAATAATCTTCTACCGAATCGATAGGATCATTATGCCAAATGCATCAACAAAAATAGGAGCGCTAGATATTCAGGTAAGTATAAAAATGAACTTTTTTTCAGACTATAACTATTTAAACAATTATTAAGACTGCATTTCACTCAATGAAATGAGGAGAATCATTGCATTACAAAAGAGGAGATGTAACCTCTGATACAGCTAGTTCTGACGCCTATGTATCAAATAATTTTCCGATTTTTTTTATTATGGATGAACCACTATATTTTATTACGATTATTATTAATAAAATACCTAAAACTCAATAAACCACCTTCAATAACATCGCTGACAATCATTTTTATTAATTATTAATATAAGAAATTAGTATATAATAAAACCTATTTTCATCATTATATAAATAAAACTATGTTAAACACCATGGAATTGATTGACCAGTAATTGAATGAGCTTGATCACTACATAAAAATAAAACAAGATCAGCTAATGTTTTTATGTAATCGTGTTGCTCAAAGAAGTTTGTTTTTATATGTCCTATGTGAAATATAATTAATTTATACAAAAACAAAATTCAACCTTAGTTTTTGTATACCTGGACAAATGATATTAGAAGTAATTCCAAATGGTGCACCTTCAATAGAAATAGCTTTAATTAATCCAAGCAAAGCATGATGTGAAGTAATACACGCTGATTTATATTCACCAGTAACCAAGCTATGTTCATTTGACTAAAATTTAATTATTATTTTATGATTACAAATTGTCACTAAAAATGTTTTACTACGAAAAGATTTTCAACAACTATTTTTGGTTTATAGATATAAATTGTAAACATTTCCTTATAAACTTGATTAAAAAAGTTTATTAAATATATTTAGTATTTGCTTTGTGTAGTTTTTGACTTTTGAACAAGGACGGAACAGTTGCTTTTAGAGTTTCCATGAAAATTTTCCAAAACGAACGAGTTTCTCTAATGGTTGACAATTAGTAAAAGTGTTCTATTTATTGGATATATTCATTATTTATGTATATATTAGGGACGCATGGAAAATCGTGTGAACGTTTTTTGTCAGCAAGTTAACATTACATACGTTCGAGCTCTTTAATAATATGTCTTCAATTAAATATGAATAGGAAGTAAAACTTTTCCTAAATACATCAAATCTAATTTTTCTTCCTTTCTTTTCGAGCAGACTCTGACTCCTTTCTCGACTGAAAAGTTTTTAGAGTTTTCATGATTTTTTTTTGTTCTTTTGCATATATGTCTCCAAGTATTCTTTTTCTCATTGAAAAACATCCAACTTCATAAATGATTTCTTTATTTTTTGAAATATGAGGTTTTTTTGACAAAAAAAAAACTTAATTTTTGCCTGCATTATTTCTCAATCATAGTAAATCCGATCAAACTGAAACTCTTTTCTACATGTACCAAAACCAAAAATGCTAGAAAGCGAAAGGAGATTAGTGTAGAGAGCTGCAGGTCCTTCTAATCTCAATATTGATAATATAGAACTTCGATCTAGATTCGAATGAGTCTGATCCTACAAGTTTGACTTTCTGAAGTATCGATTAACAAAAATCTGGATTTGTAGCTTCCTAGATGTTAGTCTTCCTATATTAATCTGTATACTTACAATATTAATAATTCTACCATAATGTTGTCGTTTCATATAAGGCCATAGAGTTTTAACTAAAGCAAAATTTAATATCAGATTATGCTCAATGATATCTCTCCAGTTTTCTGTTGGAAATTCATCAATAGAAGCTCTATAATGTTTTTTACATTCATTATTTATAATAAGAATATCAATATGTTGGAAATAATTGAATATTTGTTCAACTAATTTATGTATATCGATTTCATTTTGTATATTATCTGATATATAAATTGTTTTACTTTGTTGATATTCATTTTGAATTGTTTTTATTATATTTTCATCAATTTGATTTCCATTCACAACAATGTTACAACCTTGTTTAGCAAATTTACGTACAATATTCAAACCAAAACCATTTAAACTACTTATAATAAGTGCAGTAAATCCTTTCATGAAAATAATAACAAAAATAAAAGAAGTCGAAAAAGATAATGTTCTGTATTTATTTATATTGAAAAGATAACGAAAAAGAAAAAAAGCCTTGATTATATAAAAATGTTCTAACTCATAAATAATTGACGCAAATGACCAGATTTGACAAAATCACAAAATTCTAAATTCAAAAAAAAAAAATATCATAGATGCTTGTTTTTTAAAATATTAATACCTGTAAACGAAATATGTTTATGTCGATTACCAAGCATTTGACGAAGATTTTCTTGTAATAAGTTTTGTTTTTTGGTATTAAAACCTTGAAGTAACAAAAAAAGTGATTCAAATTCTTCTTGTTCAACTGTTCCATTAGAATTTAGATCAAATAAATTATCAAAAGTTGAACGTAATACAAAATTACTAAATTCAGCAGCATCATTAGCAAATATTGGTGTAATTAAATCAGTAAAATGTTCAAAATTTAGATTTAATAATTCTAAAATAAATTTTGTTTCAACTATATAATAATATTATTCTCTTAATTACTTTTTGAACGCATATGTTTTTGTACTTCATTAAATTCTTTTTCATTAATTCGTAATCGATAACTTTGACGAGGATTTACTTGAAACCAATAAAATTCAACTAAATAAATTTATTATATTGATTATTTAAATAAATATCTATTGCAAACCTTCAACAATTCGATTTCTAATTGTTTTAACGTATTTTGAATATTTATCAACTAATTTAGTGTTGACTAATGACGTCATTAGTTTTTTAGTTCAACAATAATATCGAAACTCATTTTTCTTAAAACAACATCAATTAGAATTTGATTTTTTTTTTTATTATATGCACGCAAAAAAAAAAAAATTTTTTTTTCTCTATCTCTATGTATGTGCTCGATTAAACTATCGGCATTATTGAGACTTTGACGTAAATAGGTCATACGAGTGTAAAGAAAAGTGAAAATCAGAATAAAAAATAATAATGCTAACGGTTCAATAAAAATATTGACCTAATATGATTGTGATAGGTATATTATAGAAAGGAATAAAAAACTTATTTTTATATGAATGTAATACGATGAAGGATTTGTTAATGTTTTATTGAGAAATTAAGACTAATTAGAAGGTGTGAACGTAGAAAGAGAAGTCAAATATCTACACCTAGACACATTAATCAGAAGCATTTGTCTAGCGTTTCTGCTAACGGTAATGTTCGTTTTAATAGTGTCGGACTGTATGACTATTGATTAGTCTATTTCATTCGTTCTATGGCAAGATTTCTTCAGTAAACCTGTGAAATTATTAATAAAAAAGTACGTCAATAAAAACAGGAAGACATTACAAAGAACTTATGATTGAAAGTCATAATAGATGATATATTAAGCTTGCCATAGCTATTAATTAATTACTAGCCAAGTATTTATCAACATGACAATAAAAAGAGAGCAATTTCCTTTTATTTATAACGATAATTATACTTTCAAATAAAATGTGCAAACGTTTATTTTCATCATTATTTACCATTGCATAAATTCGTAATCATAGTGTCTTTAATTTTGCATAATAGTTAACTCTACGAATGACCACAACTGATGAAGACTGATTATATTTCTAATTCATTAATGAAAGACTTCGAGTGTCTTAGTTAGATATGAGCAACATGACTCTGAACACTTTCACATCTAGGCTTGATCAAATGATAGATAAATGACCTATTTCATACTGTTCATCGTCGAATACATGTCACAGAAGTTTTTTTTTTCTAAAGTACGTGATAGTTGCAGTTCATTCCATAAGAGATGATCGGAAAGTTTTTAAACAAGATGTTAATAATTATCTCCGATAAATCAAAAACTATAACTTTTTATCGTGTTCGAATATAGACTTCGAAATTTTATTCAAGAGTAGTAAAATAATCTTGGAAAAGTCAAAAAAAAATTAGTTTGAACATCATGTTGAAAAAGAAATGTATGAGAAATATTCGCTTCATAAACAAGACTGATTGCGACAACTTTTAGCATGTTGAACTCAAACCTTGAATATTATGTTTATCAAAATATTTTGTTGAATAAAAAAAATGAAACCATTGTATATATATATTGTAATAGAAAATGTTTGATCAGTAAAAAAAAACAGCAAAACAAAATGTGTCACACAGCAAACTTAAACAAAATCATGCAATAACAACGAGACAAAAGAAAAACAACAAACAAATTCATTTAATCAATCAATTAATCATCGTCATCACTTGTATTTTTCATACTTTGACGAATTGATGATCGAAGAAATTCATCAGCTGCATCATTCATTCCATAAGTTTTCATATCATCTGGTTTTTCTAATTTTCCTTTTGTTTCAATTGCACCAAATTCATATAATTTATATTCTAAATGTTCAAAACGACAATTCATACCACCAAATGCAAATGGACCAATCAATGAATGTTTAAGTTCACCATTATTATAAATAAATATTGTTGGTAAATTTTTATCCGGATAATTTGGTATACAAACAGTTGATATACTTTTAACAAATTTTGTTTGAGGATATTTTAATGCAAGTGAACGAAGATGATCAGCAATTAATGAACATATTGGAAGTCTATAAATACATTAGATATTTAAAACTTCATAGTTTCTTTCTTTCTTTTTTTTTTTTTATTTACCCTGATTTATAAAGATAAAGTACAACCCATATATCATTACCAGCTTGATTAACTTCTTTAACATAATCAACTGCTGAAATTTCAATCACTTCTCCAAATCGAGAACGAGCTGCTTTTTCTTGTAATTCTAATAATCGTTTTCGTCTAAAACCAAAAAATAATTTAGATAAAAAAAAAGACAATAGAAGCGTGTACCTATATTCTTGTAGTACACGTTCATCTTCTTCATCTTCAAGTTCATCTAATTCATCTAATGTTTTCTTATCTAACTTTTCAGCTATAATGAAAAATAAGATTACGAACTTATATGAAATTGTCTAGTTTTAATTTATTTACCTCGACTAATTTCTATTCGTTCGTCTTCAGTTTTTATTTCTTCTTTTGGTTCAATTATATTAAAACGACGTAATTGATCATTCCATTGTGTATCAGCATTTGGATCCTAAAATGAAATATAATTTATATTCGATTATAAATAATAACAAGCAATTTTGGAAACACATACAAAATAAACTTTATTTTAATTTACTTATATTCATGGATCATTTCAAGTAAAATAGAACCTATCCACATATCATTTTACTTTGATTCTTTATAAGGTTGATTTTTCTTAAGAAGTTCTATTAGTATAGACATATGTAAATATGTTCGTTCTCTAATTATACGAGAAAAAAATTCGAAAAACTTCCTCTTGAAAGTCAATTTTTTAGAGATTCTAAAGAAAAGTTAATTGATTTTTGTTTTGAAAAAGCTACCCATGCTCAGAATTTTGTAGTTTCAAGAGTTATCTACAGAATGACTATTTAGTTTTACTTCAATTCGGAGTTTTTCTTAAACTAGACAGCATGAAATAGAAGTCAATGTTCTTTTTTTAATCCTCGTTCTTCAATGATAACTTCTTGGAACAAAGGTCTCTATAACATTGATTTTTAAAGGTATATCGTTAACAAATGTTTTAGTTCATGTATGTCACAGTGAACATGAGAAATCAGTTGAGTTTGGAATGCATGAAGTAGTTTTGAAAAATTGTCTTCGAAAAAGAATTTATAATAGGACTAACGCTTTATCAACAAAATGAATTAATCGATTTAAAAAGAAATTCAGAACATGAAGTCATATTAAACACTACGATAAGCAAAAGTTTTAATGATTTTCCTGGATTCTATTTTTATTTTACTGTATTATCAAAAAAAAACTGATCGAAAATTTACTAAGAATGGTCATGTATCATATACGATCGATTATAGTATTTAGACAACAAATTTCAAGTTTTTATTTCATTAGTACTTACAACTATTTATTATACTCTAATATCATAATTATAAGACACACATGTGGTACAACATACTTTTTTTCTTTAAAAACGGTTCACATTAATTATCTGCTCCTCTGAACAAATACTTTACAAAAACACAATATTTATTTTAAGAAACTTTCGCTGATCATTCAATTCTTGTTGTTTATATATAGAATAACGATCTCAACATATCTTTATTATCGAGTAAACTTTAAAATACAATGAAATTTAATGTAAATTATGTTGAATTAATAGTTTTTTTTATAAAATTGTTAGAATGTTTATTTATATCTATATTAAAGGACATCTTTATAAGGAAATTATCTACAATAATAGATTATATATGTTATGGTTAACAGATCGAACATTACAAAGACATGAACATAAGACAGATGCAAGCTTTAGTGAATAGAAGATAATACATACTTGCATGATTGACTTGAGATTGTGACTTTGAAAATAAAATTTGATGAATAATGAAAGATGAATAGATCAAAATGTTCGTATGAGTATTAGTGACCATATTTGGAAACGTTTCTGATGTCCAATGAACAACTAGTTGCAAAACCTTTTCAAATACTTCCATTTCATAGAATAATTTAGCTTTTAAAATTAACGAAGATTATTATTACTTGAAATTCTTGCTTTAAAGATGAGAAACGTATCATAATTATTATTATAGATGTCGTGTCAAACAAAAATAACAATGTCTCAATGAATTCCTTATACTGAATGAATAGTATATTGAAGGTTCTGTCTTTTGCAATATACGAGATGAAGATTTGCAGTTGTACATGAATCTCTAGTAATAGTATTAGATTTAGTGATGAATAAATACAATAGCGAGCGAACTGTCAAAACAGTTTATCGAAGTCATCACCTGGTTTGCTGCATTCATGTCGTAAATGCTATCATGAAAACATCGTTCGATTGCACAACAATTGTGAAAGGAAAACAATCAGATTTGCGTTCTTTGACTTCATTTTTTTGATACGTTGGTGGGCACAACATAGTAAAGCATTGCAGTGTTGTTCTTTTCTTTTCTGTTGCAAACTCTTATTTCATAACGCACAATAATAAAAGAATATCAAAACATATGGCAAAAGCACCTGGTAGAACTGTCTGCATTACATGTGGCAAAGAAAAAGCTACGTTTAAGTGTGGAGGATGTGCACAAGAATTTTGTTTTAATCATTTGGGTGATCACAAGCAAGAGCTTAGTAAACAATTTGATGAAGTTGAAATTAATCGTGATCTCTTTCGACAAACACTTACCGAACAAACAAATAAACCACAGAAGCATCCATTAATCCAATATATTGATACATGGGAACGTGATTCAGTCAATAAAATTCGACAAAAAGCAGAAGAAGCAAGGCAACTAGTATTTACACATATTACTGAATCTATTAAACAACTAGAAAGCAGATTAAATCAATTGACTGATCAATTACGACAAAGTCGTGCTGAAAACGATTTTTTTGAAACAGATTTACTTCGATGGAATAATGATTTGATACAATTGAAAGAAGAACTTACTAAACCGTCAAATATCAATCTTCGACAAGATACTACACCACTTATTACTACACTTTCAATTGATGTTACATCTTGTAAGTCGAGTAGGTATCACGAAAGATTAGTTTGTAAGTGAAAAAATAAAAATCAATTTACACTCTGAATTAGCAAAGTTGATGAAAAGAAGAATTTTGTAATGAATACTGTCATATGCAAAACTATAATCAAAATAATGTGAAGATGAGAAAATTTTATGACTTAGATTTTAATTAACAGATTTAAATATGTGTTTTAAGTCACTGCAAGCAAATTAAAAAGAGTAGTTCTCATGATAAAATATTTTGATAGATTGTTTCTTTTCTGATAGGATAATATTAATATCAATAAGGAAGCCACAGTTATAATTTACTATTGTCATAAACACCTGTTGTATATTGTAGTATCCGTAAAAAATCTAAAAATTGGCTAAAGTACAAGATGGGTACAAAATGGGGCGACAGTTGCTGGAGGATTTGGTCGTGGCGATGGCTTAAATCAAATGTCAAACCCATGGGGCTTATATGTTGATGATGATCAGACTATATATGTGACTGACTACTCGAATCATCGTATTGTGAAATGGAAATATAGTTCGACTAGTGGTCAAATAGCTGCGGGTGGAAATGGATCAGGAAATTCCACAAATCAGTTGTATAGTCCGACAGATGTAGTTATTGACAAAGAGAATGATTGTCTTATTATTTGCGATTACGGCAACAGGCGAGTAGTGCGATGGCCTCGTCGAAATAGCACATGTGGACAAACAATCATCCAAAACGTTGGCTGTTGGGGTCTAGCAATGGACAACAATGGATATCTCTATGTGGGAGACTATGAAAATCATGAAGTAAGACGATGGAAACTTGGAGACACTAATGGAATAATAGTAGCTGGTGGGAATGGAGAAGGTGATCATCTCAATCAGCTTAGTGGTCGTTTTTACATTTTCGTCGATAAGGACCAATCAGTGTACGTATCAGATGAGTAAAATCATCGTGTGATGAAATGGATGAAAGATGCAAAAGAAGGTATTGTTGTCGCTGGTGGTAACGGCCCAGGAAATAGTTTGACACAATTGTCGGCTCCTTTTGGAGTGTTTGTTGATCAGTTGGGCACTGTCTATATTTCTGACGCAAGTAATCATCGAATAATGAGTTGGCCTCAAGGGGCTAGACAAGGTAGTATTGTTATTGGTGGAAATGGTAAATGTGAACAAGCAAATCAACTCTCCTGTCCTTTAGATTTAACATTCGATCGACAAGGCAATTTATATGTTGTCGACAATGGAAATTATCGAGTGCAGAGATTCAACATAGACTCAAACTCACAGTCATAATCGTTAAAAGTGATCTTTAATGAACTATTAATTTTGCTTTAATCTGCATCAGGTCAAAAATTACGGACAAGTTTCGGCTGTAACACACTGAAAACCGAAGGAACTTGACAACAGTGTTCCTTATCGGAAAGTTTCAGCGTTTTTTTCTGGTGACTTCAGGCCAAACGTTTGCTCTTTCTATCGGGGACCAGATACAATTAATTAGAAAAAATCTGGACGATTTCCGGCTCAGATCACTATTGCCAAGTTACACTGATTTCCGATGTTTTCCTGTCAGATACAATGATTTTTGTTCATGTTCTGACAGGTTCCAGTGAAACTCGATTGTTTCCGGAGTTCACAGTCAGTATAATGTAGATTCAGGCATCTGGATCCACGAATTTCTGAAAAAAATTCATCGAAAAGCTCCGAAAAAAAGTAGAAACTTGAAAGCAAGAATCTGATAATCGGATCTAGTAACTGCATTTATCTAGTTTCGGTAGAAACTGCTTGTATTTCATTCACTAGTATATATTCGTTTCATTTAAATATAAAACTAATAAGACAAACACAGGCAATAATATTGAAACTTTGAGAACTAGCTGTGTTACTTTGTCTTCATATTTTTTACATACAGGAAAGAGATAAACTTTTTATCTGTAGAAATTGAAAAAAAGAGCACAATATCAATAACAAGACACGAATAATGAATGATTCCATGAAATGTCTAGTTTAAATCATTGAGAAAACTCAAAAAGTATTCTTAAACTGATGACTTTCTTTCATTTAGTAATTTCTAGGACTAAATTTTAATACATATCTTCATAATATTCAATTTCAATTGATTTTTAAGAAAAATAAATAATTTTTTATTGTTTCATTGATTTTAACACTGCATCTGAAAAACTATATATCGATGTAGAAAGTTGTTGTAATATAAATTTGAAAAAATGACATTAAACGACTTGTCATTTATATATTGCAACAAATATTTAATTTTATTCGAGAAGTTGACACTTGTAAATTACAACTGATTTTTCTTTCCTCAAAATCGCCATTCATTACATCGTATGAACATGTTATCGGGAAACAACAGAAGAAAAAATAGGTAAATCATTAAAACATTTCTTTTCCATCTTTCATTCAACAACATTCTTTTTCCTTATTATATATCTTCAGTCTATGTTGATACATAGTAGTGTATAAGTATGTTGCTAAATGTTGTGCACAGTAAAACGATGATGAGTATAACATCAATTACTTGTGTGAGAAAATTGAGTATTTGCTGAATGAACAAAATTTACTTGAGAGGATTTTTTATTCTTTGAAATTGATCACTATGTAGATAGAAAGATTGTTTCAAAACATGTTCGATTTGTTTGCAATTTTATCATTATCTTCTGTCTGAACCTGTATAAATGGAGTATTTTAGTTCTTTCTTTCAAAAAGTATAACTGAATTGAGGATGATGTTACACGAATAGATCAACTAATTCAACGTAAGATTGATAAATATATTAATTTATTTGAAGAGAAGTATCAGTTAATGAATGTTTTTAGATCATACTAGATTAATCTTTTACATTATGACAATCAGAAAAACTCAAAGATTTATTAAAAAGCTGAATCATTTCGAAATAGCAGCAAAATAAAAGAATTTGAGTGTTTTCAAAAGTATTAGAGAATTAGTTTAAGACAAACAATGTCAATGACTGAAAATGTTTTTTTTTTTCTTGATACAAATTAATTTAAAAAAACAATCATCTTTAAAACTTCAGATTTCGTACTATCAATGTGAATCAAAGTGTAAGTGAGACACAATTCGACAAACATATGTTTATTCATAATAATTGATATAAATTCGTAAAACGTCACTCCTATTGTATAGATGTCTTTTAAAATAATGTGTATTTAACTCGAACAGTGAAATCAACTAAGATTAGACAATATATACATATTTCTTAGATCGTGACAGATACAAGAATTAGGATATATGTGTAAGCCTATTTAAATTCATAAGTTTTTATCACAATAATTTTACATTTTCTATAAAAGATAAATAGATTGCTTGAAAATTTAGAAAAGAAAAACTAACTTGATATCTATTTTAAATAAAGACAAAATAACAATAGATATGTTGTTTTATTCAGTTTTCTTTAAACTATAATCAATAACATCGATATCATTTGAATCAAGAAGATTACCATTCAGTATCAATAAAAATTTTTGTTTTTTTCGTTATTATCTTTAAATGTTCATTGATATTGATAAATGGATAAAATACGTTTTCTATTGAGATTAAATGGAGTAGGTGTACAGCGCCTAAGTATCAGGTTTTGCTACAAGATGCTGATATATATTTGAAATTAGACTCAAAATAAAGGCGACAGCTATAACTGAATGTCATATAACTTCAATTCAATGTTTTCAATGAACATAAACCTATTTTTCGAAAATAAAGATTTTTTTTATAAAACTTGAGTAAAGGTTTTCGAAAGACATCGAATCCGAACTCTAATTGATGCCTTTCAAAATTCTTGAATTTGATTTTTTCGATCAGTTGAAGCTTATTTTCAGCTGTTTACTTACGTTTTATAACATTCAGCTATTTGTTTGAAATAAACTTCCACTAAACGAAAAATCGAACTCAGGACTTACGAAAAGACGATTAGAGATCTGGATTTGTTTACTTTTGAAAATCTTGAGTCAAGTTTTATAAAAAAGTTATTTTCGAAAAAATAAATTTGTCTTCATTGAAACAATCAAAACGAAACCGTATGACTCTTACTCATAACTATCACCTTAGTATCTGCTCTTATTCCAAGTATTTATCAGCATCTTCACTACCAAAACGTGCTGAGCGTTTCTGATTTGCAATTTTATATATAATGGAATAGACTTTTACATATATAAATTTTAATAAAGACATGAAATAATATTCTATTTCAGATATTTATCATCCCATTGCAATATGAATTTCGAAACAATATAAATACAATAAAATAATTCAATAGTGTATGATAATAATATAACATTAATGATTGACTTTATCATCAAATAATCTTTCGAATTATGACAATATATTCAATTTGCTTAGATCAAAGTTTCAAAATATTTGTATTACTTTCTCTTTAAATATCGCAATTCCTATGAGATTATTACTTAAGACATGATGTATTGATGTATTTTACATATCTTTGAACTTATAATTTTATCCTTCTTTTTTACTCAGCTCTTCACAAATACATTAAGAAAATAGTTAATATATTACAACGAGCCACTTTTGATATATGGTCTGTGATCGTATGTCAACAACGTCTGTAACGGTCTATAGAGAAGGAGAAGAATGTACATTGTAACTAGGATGGCTAGATCTTCTGAACAAAAAAAAAGGAAAGTTTCAGACTTTTGAAAATTTTTCTGAATACTTGCTGCTGGATTTTTCTCATATTGCTTCGAATTGTGCACTCTTTTAGATCACAATTTCTTCAGTGACGAAAAATATGATTATAACTCATTACTCGAATGGTGTTCAATTTAGAATAAGAATGAATAGTATAACTATTGTTGCGAACAATCTTATAAACATATTTTAATTTGAGCACAATTATCAAAGCAAAATAGAAAGATAGAAAATATGAACAATAATATCGAATCAATACGATATGACTTATTTTTATTTTGTAGAATTTCTTAATCTACATGATGTATATTTAGTTTGTTTTTGTATATTTTTCGTGAATGAAATTCAAGTCCAGTTTCTTTACAGTAGAATACCTCTGAATATTAGTAAAGCATTTGATACCAACATATGAGCATAACAGCAATGCTTTTTATGAATTATTTCTGATTTCCCAAAAAAAAAAAAAAAATTCTGAGGGTTGTTTAATTTTGAAAAAAAAGATTCTGAATTTTAAGTTTTTGATCTAGCCACTCTGATTTTGTTACCCTATATACTTCAACAATCCTTTCAGCTTATGTTTTCCAAAATATTTACGTTAATAGAATCTGTAATGCTTTCGCATTCTTCTTTTAATTATAAGCAATCGAAAACGAATAGAATCGAACGTGAACTAATAAAACTCAGTTCGATTCGATATCTGTTATTACTACAACAAACATTTCATAATTCTTCTTTCGCAATTATGTTTGATATGATATCTAAGTATTGATGAATAAGATTTTTTTTCAAACTTTATTATTGTATTATATGAAGACAGAAAACAAAAAAATCGCTTGTATGCTCATTGACAAAAATCTTATTGTCTTTGATCAATGTGGATTTAGTTTCTTTTAACGATTGATAACAAATGATTTGTTTTGATTCGCAATAATATAAACAGTCATATTGATCACATGTTTGTTTGTTTTTTCTTTTAATAACATCGATTAGCTTGTTTTTTTGTCATAGATCATATTTGTTTTACTGCAATATTTTTCTCTCATAATACATTTCTTCATAGCTATTGTGACTTACCTGAGGAGAAATGATATTCATTAGATTCGTATCTTCACCATTAAACATATATGTAGTGATTCATGCATAGTTATTTTTCTCCTATTATCGTTATTACGAGGTTTTCTTTCTCTCAATAATGAAACCAGTCAAGAGAAACATGATTGATATTTATAAACAATAAGAAGTTGAATATTGTTCCAGCTGATTAAAATCGTATAGTCTATGTTTTTTTGCTACCAAACTAAGTATGAAGATGAAATATTCTAAAGAATATTTTTTATTTTTCTTCCAAAACACAAACAAATTAATTTAGAAAAATGTAATGGAGCCTTAACTTCGTATATTTGTTATCGTTCTTTACCATCAAATATTTTTAGTAATCATTCGACCTATAGTTAGAATAAACTTTAGAGTATTATTTTCATACCAAGTAATATATGAAAAAAGCTTCGAAAAGGATGAGTCATGCCTATATTGTTACTATTTAAACTCATAGTTCTTCTTGCTATGCAAGCAAATCAAGTTCAACATAGTAGAAGATAAAATGTTTTTCTCATCAATAAATAACTAAATTGCGCGTACAGAGGTAGAAATATTGCGCCTGACTTTTATCCTCCTCTATATGATAAACGGTTAAAAAAAGCGCATGATGATTCATCTTCATCGATCAAAGTGTACTGAAGTAACTGGAGGAAAAAAAAACATCTATAAATTAAGAATCATTCATACGTTAAATATCATAATGATGTACTTTTGATATCATAATGATGCGTCTTCTCATATATTTCTTCGTTGTTTTTATTTGCAAGCAAGGAAGTGCAACGATATACCCATGTAATACAAATGCTTCATGTGGATGTTCAACTTCATTGACAGTTGTATCACGTATTGCTGGTGGTGAAAATGCACCTCGACAATCTTGGTCATGGATTGTTTCTCTTCGCTATAATGGAAAACATTTTTGCGGAGGAACAATTCTTTCACCATCATTCATTATCACTACTGCTAGTTGTCTTACAAATATACATGATTTAAACAGCATTACTATTCTTGCTGGATCTCTCACTTTACAACCTTCGTCGAATGATTTGTCTCAAGTTCGTTCAATCGCTAGTATTTATAAACATCCCGATTTTGACTATCACTGGATGATAAATGATATAGCTCTTCTTCGCTTATCTACTCCATTAGATATGACACACAGAAATATCAAACCAATCTGTTTATCATCTGGTATTGTTCCACAACCACCAGACAATATTAATATGATTGCTATAGGTTGGGGTACAACATCAACGTGGACAAATACACTTTCGTCAACTCTTCTTCAAGTTACATTACAATCCATAGCCAGTACGTTTCGGGGATGTCAGCGGGTTATTTCTGATACTCAACGACAATTTTGTGCTGGAATAAAAACTGGTGGCAAAGGTAATACATTAATATTAAATATATTCACTAATTTCAATATATTTTTGTCTATCTACAGATACTTGTCGAGGTGATGGTGGTGGACCATTAATGACATTGGTCAATAATGTTTGGCAACTTAATGGTATCACATCCTATGGTTATGGATGTGCATTACGTGGTTATCCAGGAGTCTACACTCGAGTTAGTTACTATATAGAATGGATCAAATCGATCCTTCCTTCCGACGAGATTGCGACAATTATAACTAGTACAGGCGAAACCCCGCTGACAAGTGCCTCAAGCGAAGAACCAATGACAAGTGCTTCAAGCGAGGAACCAATAGAAACTACAAGCATTACAAGCGAAAAACCAATGGAAACTACAAGCATTACAAGCGGAGAACCAATAACAAGTATCTCAAGTGAAAAACCATTGGAAACTACAAGCATTACAAGCGAAAAACCAATGGAAACTACAAGTATTACAAGCGAAACACCAATGGAAACTACAAGCATTACAAGCGAAACACCAATGGAAACTACAAGCATTACAAGCGAAACACCAATGGAAACTACAAGCATTACAAGCGAAGAACCAATAACAAGTATTTCAACTGAAGAACCAATGGAAACTACAAGTATTACAAGCGAAAGACCAATAACAAGTGCCTCAAGTGAAGGACCAATGGAAACTACAGCTATTACAAGTGGAGAACCAATAATAACAACAGCTAGTACAAGCGAAAAACCATCCACAGCTCAAATTCCAGAATTACCATTTCACATACCAAATCATAATAATTATTTAAGAATACAATCGTTGTTTGTTATACTTCTTCTGTTTATCGTAGCCAGTATATTTTTACTTTTTTTGCTATCCCTTTGCGTTTTCTTTTTTTGTAAGGCCATTCACTGATCAATACAACATTGTAATTGGATGTCAATATAACATTTGATGCGAGTGGAACAAAAAGATTATTTTCTTCTTCTTCTTTTTCTTTTTCTTCTATTTATTCCTATTTAAACTTTAAATTTTGTATCTTTGTCACAATAAAAACAATAAAACGAAGCTCACAGCTAAATAAATTAATCTACAAAAGATATACTTTCTGTTTGAAAAAATGCTTAACTATGAATATGGTAAATATGTATTCTTTGGATTTCAACAGATTATTGTTCGTTACAAAATATTGATAAGACTATTAAGAGAATCACAATCTTTTTTTTTCTTGTCAGTTTCTCTAAACTTGGGGTATGGGTCTTCTATTCATCCACATCATGTCTAAATTCACGTTACATTGTAAGAAAAACAAAGTATAATATTTAATTATATACAGTCAAACAAAATATGGCAATAACAATAATCTAATTTAATTTGAAATCTAAAATAAATATCTGATAATTCGAATACTTTTATTGTATTAGTTGTTCCATTAAACCAATTAGTACAATCATGTAATAAATAGTTTGATTCAAACGCATCAGAACTCATTTTTTTTCCCATTATATTCACAATCAAAATCATGATCAGCTGATCTATAAAAATAACATTTCACACTTTGTTTTAATTGATTATCTTACCTACAACATTCATGAAAATATGTTAAATATTCGTTGCTCTTATCTAGATTGATATGACATATAATTTGATAGATTTTAGATAATATTGATTTAAATTTAACTTTTATACCAGCTAGATAAAAACTATGGAAATGAATGTAAGTGGACACATCGACCTGTTAAACGATTTAAGTCATATTCATGATTTGGATATTTTATGTTGGAACGAGATAAATGATGTGGTATACAATGTAGCTAAATAAACGTTTAGGTTCAATTAAATAAAAATAAATTAATTTATTGAGTAATATTTGTAGATTATTTTCTTTATTCAAATATCTATTTCTATTGAAATAAGAATGAAATAACTCTTCGATTGCTAAAGATATCTTTCATTCATTTGTAAATGAACGTCGTTTTCACCTAACTGTATTCGAATTAATATCATTCAAAAAAAATTATTCTTTTTAATTAAGATATATAATTGTTGAAATGTTTTTGATAAGTTTATAATCTCAATAAAAGATAAATATTTGCATAAATTATATAAAACATGATGTCGAAGATCATCTATGTGTATTTTTATCTAAAAAAAGAAAAATATAATAATTTTGATAGATGATTTAAAATATAGAAAAAAAAAAGTGAGATTGAAAATTAAAAATAATTTTAAAATAACACGGTCGACTATATTTTCAAAAGAGAATAGGTAAGAATGATAATGTTTTAGTCGTGTTTATTTAACGTCTAATATTAATGAATCATTTCAACCTTCTAATCTATAAATATCTCTGAGCAGGTCACTATTTTTGGTATCTGTTCTTCCAGATGCTTTATTGATATGAAAGGAAATATTTAATTAATCAATTCAGCATTACTATATAATTGAAGAATTATCAACGGAAAAAAAAGACAAATTTTATTGTAATGAAATTGAAACTACTCAGGTGTCTATAATATGTTCATGTATAAGAAGCTAATGGAATTTATTTTTTTGACCTCAACTTGGACCAGAGATGTTGACAGGTTGATACGTTTTCACTCAACTTGTCCTACTCGTACTTACATATACGTTGGAATTTTGATGGTTCACGGCTTAGGTGTTTCTACGTTTCATAGGTTTCACGAGTCGGATTATATTTTAGCATATATCAGACGATTTAACTCGGCTTGACTCTTTAACAATTTTTGCATTTCATTCATTCTTTTTACATAGATTTTCGTTCACTATTCATATGATTCCTGCGCTCTTCCACTAGCTTAGTTGTTTTTAATATTTCTTTCGTTTTTCAACACCGAGAGTCTTTCTATCATATTTTTTCACTAAATAGTCGTTTTAATCATTTATCTACTTGTTTTGAAGCAGGTTCACATAACAGATGATACAAATGCTCTGCAGAAGCTTCGTTTTTAATATGGCGCTATGGTCGAATACTATAAAGACTTCATCATTTTTTTTTCGTTAGAAGGAGCAAAGTGCCTAGTGGAAAAATTCAAGAAAGAATTGGATGAGAACTTTTTTTCACAGACCTGAAATAGTTTAAAACAAAAGTCTTGAGAAAAGTCTTCAACAACTACTTTGAACTTAGAAAAGATTTTCATCGAATTAGATCGATTAAATATTTATTCATCGAATGGGAGTTGTTCAAGTAAGGGATATAGCAGTGTTGCTGTACAAAAAAAACTATTTAAATGTTTTTTAGCGGTCAAAATACACTCTTTTACGGTGTCCTCTAGTATCGATTCTTTTCATTTCTGTCGGTTAGAGTCGGAAAAAACGATATCTATACTGAAAGAGAGGCTTTCAGAAGCTATAGATTTTGTATGAGAAAAAAGCCTATTGAGTCCTTCGCGAAACTATATTATTTGGAACAGTAATAGAGGTTGCCTATGAGAGATATTCGGCCGAAGATTTTTCTTTTCGTTTTGTAAAACCTTAATCGACCAAATTAATTTTTTTAAATCGCATCGTCTGCTATCTGTTCTTGTGTATAATAAAATGAATTATTTTAATACTACACAAAAGGTTTTATTCTATTGAACAACTGTGTACATACGCTGTTTTAAAAGACTGAAAGTGAACGATAAAAAAACTTAAAGAAAGAAATATATCTGAACAACATAATTATAACCGAAGTTGTAGAAGAGTTTTACAACATCTTTTATTTTAGAATATTTCTAGTCTTTGAAAAAAAATTCACATCAAACTCTTTCATGATTTTTTTTGCATTAGACACTGTGCTCTGTCTAATAAAAAGAAAATAATACAGAACTTTTGCATTACCTATTATTCATGCACAATTTTCTAGGTTTGATCATAGGACGTGACTGAAAACAGAAGCTATAATCAGAAAATCATCAGATTGTATGTGCTATAATAATATTTTATCCATGACCGTATACTGCAACTATTATTTTACTATTTCTTGTCTTGATCTTAAATTGAAATTTTGTGATGTTAACATATGTGCTCAGAAATAAAAGATAATATTGTACTTATAAAAATCTCAGTTTCAAACATAATTAAAACAATGAATAGGACAGTAAAAAAAAATTAATGAATTTGTAAGAGTGTGGGTGAAACAAGAACCACATCTACACCCTTTTTCTCGGTATTTCACTTATATCTACACAAAGATGATAATTTTATGATGAAAGAACGCTAGAAAATTGGTATTTTTTTACGTTTTGTGAAAAGTCTGAGATATTGCGTTTCTCAAACGGTGTATTTAAATCAGTAAAAATTCTTTAGACAACAAGTATCAAATGTATCTGGAACTATCACCATGTTCATAAATATTTTTCTAGTTCAGACATTATTCACATTCTTCACTTAATATTTACAGTTATGACAAACGATAAACAGTAGTTTTACTGTATTAGCTCGAAATGATGAAGAGAGGAAAGAGACAAACAACCGTACATGTATTCGTCTAAAAGACACTCCAATAGCAATAGGAACTGTGCAGAAAATATTCAACTTGAGAACAGAGAAGTGTTAACCTATTGGAAGTACATTTGTAGCAAAACTCGCTTCGTAAAATCGAGATCTCTCGTTCAGAAGAGGAGGTACTTACTAATGGAGATTTCCTCATGTATTGAAGAGATCGTGACAGAGTATAGAATTAGAATTTAAAATCATAAAGCTCCATTGTACTTATTATAGTTAGAATAAGAAAAAAAAAATATCTATTTGCATTAAACAATCAGATAAGAATGCATGTCTGTTTATATTCACAAACTTTTACCATCATAGATTCTTATTCTCTCCAAAAAGGCGAATCGATCGCTTTAAAATATGCGAAAAGAAAATTTAATTTCTAATTAATGATAAACAGAGAAAAAATAGCAGTAGATAAAACTATTCGCATGAAAAAAAAAACGGAAACTCAGTTAAAAAAAGTTCCTATTTCAAAAATTATTTTATTCAGTTATTCCTAAACTATAATCGATAACATTAATCTCAACTGAACCAACGCAATTAGCATTCAGCATCAATAAAAAAAAACTTTTTTTTTCGTTAAAATCTTTGAAAGTTCATCAATATTGATAAATGAATATGATTTTTTTGTTTAAACGCAAAAGAAACAAGAAAATAGACATTTTATTGCTTTCCGAAGAAATTATATCACAAAAAATACAATCAAATGAACTTTTATACATATAATTTTAGTAAAGGCATGAAATGATAATGTATATCTGATTGCATATCAAATTATTTTCACAGGAATCTCGAAGCAATAAAAATCAAATATGATAACTCTATAGTTTATGGTAATCAAACAAAACCAATGAGTTAATTTATTATTGAAGAAGTTGAATTATTCGAATCTCTCGATTTTTCTAGATAAAAATTTCAAAAGATTTGTCTCGACCGAAAAAAGTTGACTTAGGCTGTGGTTTTTTTTCTTAAAAATTGGCTCATCCCTAGACCATTCATTTAATTACTGTGAATACATTTTTAGCACATGGATGAATAAGCATATTTCGAGTACAGTAGTCGATATCTAAACAGATGTTCGATAATATATGCAACAATATGGAAAACCTAACATCTTCGAATTAATCAGTATTTTCTGATTTATCGGTGTAGAAAACCAAAAACTTTCCAACATAAAGATTTGTTTAATGTTTTATTTTGAATAAGAACATATGCCGATGATTGCTGCTTCAAGTCGAAAAAAAGTGTTAATAAAAACTGATGATTGAAAATCTAACCTAGGAATAGAATTAGAATTCCAAAAAAAGTAAATAATGATGATGTTGTAATAGTTGATGAACAAAAAGAATCAAGTAAGAATATTGTGTTAAATATGAAGAAAGTGTTTTTTGTAAGGTAAACATAATTTTATCTTTTTTTCTTTGTTTTGTTTTATAAATTTGTTGTTCATTGAAGAAGTGTTTTAGGTAGTGAAAGAGTTACATAATATTTTCAAAAATAACATTTGAAAAAAAATACGCAATATTTTTTGAAAATTTGATATCTAATTCAAGATTCAACAAATAGGCGTCCATCGTCATGTCGGATCATCTCGATTCAGCTTATGTTTTTTTTATTCAAAAAGACTTCGCTCCATGAGCTGGGTCATTGAATCTAAACTATTAAGTTCTCAGATTTCTATTCCTTAGAGAATATTAATGTCAAGTGCAAGTGTTCAGCCATCATATCCTTCTATTAATTCTCAGAGACAGAACGAAATTCGAACTACTGTAGGCAAACTTGCTACAATATGGTCTCTCTAAATTAGTACAATAGCCGTTTCATATGATACATAGGGATTGCGAAACAAGAATTTTTCAAATTTTATGATCACATTATAAGAGGAAAAAGATGAAAAAAAAAAACATTCTTATTCTGATGTATTATTTTTTTTGCCGTTTATCAACGTCCATTTAGTTTCATTTTAACGATTAATAACAAGTTATTCGTTTTGTTTTTTTTCTCGGCTAATAATATTGATTAAATCCTTTGCTGGTCATAAGTCATATAGGTCTTCTATATTTTTTTCTCATAATCAATTTTTCCATAACTGTTGTTACTCATGTGAAGAGAAATATTGTCTTCATTAGATTCGTATCTTCATCATAACACACATATGAAGTGATTCATCGACAGCTGTTTATTTTCCTAGTATCTTTATTACAAGGTTGTTTCTCTTAATGATGAAATCATTCAACAGAAATATGATTTATGAATATAAACAACAACTTGTAAAATTTCTCATCTGATTCAAATAGTATGGTCTAGTTGTCGTAATATTAAACTAAACTTGGAGAAGATACGTTCTAAAGATTACTTCTCATTTCTCTCTAAAAAACAAAAATAAATGGGTTTAGACAAATGTCGTCTGTCCTCAATATCGTATATTCAATACCATTTTATTATTATCTAATATTTTTAGTAATCATACTATCTGTATTTAGAAAGGATTTTATAGAATTGTTTTTTTATATCAGGTTCTTTTTACGAAAAAAACATTGAGCACAATTATTTGAGTTAATATTGTATCAACTCATAGTTGTAATTAGTAAGTAAATAAGTCAAGTTCAAAATGATAAAAGATAAAACCTCCGTCTCATAACAAGTAATCTATTCATGAATAAAGAGTACGGAATATTCCACCTGACTTTTATCGTCCTTGGAATGATAGATGCTTTAAAAAACTATAATGATTCATTTGCGTCATAGGAAGTATATTAATGCCCCCAACGAAAGAAACACCTACAAATTATCAATCATTCATACGTGTAAAGTATAACGATGCGTCTTCTCATATTTTTCTTCGTTGCTTTTATTTGCAAGCAAGGAAGTGGAACAATATACCAATGTAATACAAATACTTCATGTGGATGTTCAACTTCATTGACACTTGTATCACGTATTGTTGGTGGTGAAAATGCAACTCGACAATCTTGGTCATGGGCTGTTTCTCTTCGTTCTTACGGAGAACACATTTGTGGAGGAACCATTCTTTCACCATCATTCATTATTACTGCTGCTCATTGTTTCGAATACATAACTGATTTAAAAAGTATTACTATTCTTGCTGGATCACTAACTATAAAACCTTCATCAGATGATTCATCTCAAGTTCGTTCAGTTGTTCAACTTTACAAACATCCGAATTATAACTCTTCTTTGTGGACGAATGATGTGGCTCTTCTTCGCTTGTCTAGCCCATTAAATATGACACACGGAAATATCAAACCAATCTGTTTACCATCTGGTATTGTTCCACAACCATCAGACAATATTAATATGATTGCTATAGGTTGGGGTACTACATCAACATCATCAGGTAAAGTTTCTTCAACTCTTCTTCAAGTCACTGTACAACTTATAGAAAATACATACAGTGGATGTCAATACCTTATCTTTGATAGTAAACTACAATTTTGTGCTGGAATAAAAACTGGTGGCAAAGGTAATACATTAATTTTACATATATTGAATGATTCGATATTTTTGTGTCTATCTACAGATACTTGTCAAGGTGATAGTGGTGGACCATTAATGGCATTTGTTAATAATGTTTGGCAACTTTATGGTATCACATCCTATGGCTATGAATGCGCGTTACCTGGGTATCCAGGAGTCTACACTCGAGTTAGTTACTATATACAATGGATCAAATCGATTATGCCATCCCAAGAAATTAAAACAACTACAACTAGTACAAGTAAAAAACCAACAACAAAAGTAACTAAGACAAGCAAAATTCCGATGAGAACTACGACTACCACAATCAAAATTCTAACAACAACTAGAACTAGAACAAGCTAAACAACAATGAGAACTACAATTCGCAGGAACAAACAACCAATGAATGCTAAAGTAGCAGAACCAGTGTTTCAAACATCAAATAATGGTAAACATTCAACAATTGAACCGTTGGTTTTGATAGTTTTCCTGCAGATCATAACCGATGTATATCCATTTCTTTTGTTAGTTCTTTTCTAATCCTTTTATTGTAATATCATTTATTGAATAATACAACATTTTATTGTTAATAAGACAAAAACAATATTTTTGTTTTATTATATTTACTGGAACTGTAGTTTCAAATTTTCTCTCGATTTCACAATAAAAATAACAAGAAGCAACTCATAGCTAAATACATCAAACTAAGAAGGATTTGCTGTCTTTTGGAAAAAAAAAACTTAACTAGCAGATGGTAAACATAAATAATGCAATCATTTGCATTTAATATTTCATTATTAGTACATACCAAAGAATCATTAAATGATTTCAATTTTACATTTGCACGTTTTTTCTCTAATTAAGGAACAGAAATACGTTACTCTATCATGGTAGTCACTGTTAAAAGACTTCCAGCGAAAAACTGAATTTTTTCACTCCACCCATCTGCCTGTTGAGATTTGTCCAATTTTATCGACACCCTTCTTCATTGTGCTGGACGCCAACCAGACAAAAAAACTTTGTGCTTGTTCTTTTCTCTTTTTTTAAGTAACAATTCAGTAGATAAATATATCAAAACAGAAATGAATATATAATCTATTACAATGTTTTTGTTTTTTAGACATAAGTATTCTATAAACCGAAAACGAATCGGTTTTTAGAAAATAGAGATGAACCGTACTAAATTCGAATTATTGTAGTAAAACTTGCTCCAATTTGATCTCTTTTATCTATAACAACAACCAATTTATAATTCTTTTGTCTCAATTGTGTTTCATCTAACATATAGGATCTATTGTATAAGAATTTTTTCAAACTTCATCATTCTATTATACGAGCGCAAAAACAAAAAAAAGTCGATAGTATTCTAATTTATAATCTTTTTTCACTGTTTATCAATGCCGATTTTATTTTGTCTTTACAATGATAGTAAATTACGTTCTTCTATTGAACAAGGATAAAAATAAACATTAAATCTATCATCAACGTATTAGTTTATTTATCGTAAGTCTAATGTGTTTTATTTTTCGATAATATCAACAATTATTTCAATCACATGTTTCTTTTTTTTTCTATTGATCATATTAATTTGGTCGTTGTTTCATTATACGTCATATTTTGTTTATTTTCCATATTTTCATTGTAATGATAAATTTCTCTCTGTGTTGTTACTGACGTACAAGCAAGTATTGTTTTCACTGGACACGTGCATTTATGATTAAACATGTATGAGATGAATCATCAATTGTACTTTTACTATTATCTTTACTATAAGGTCGTTTCTCTCAACGATGAAACTATTCAAAAGATCCAGCACTCACGTATGCAAATAAAAAGAATTTGACGTTTGCTGCCATCGGTCATAGTAGTATGGTCTAGCTGTCACAATATTTAACTAGACTTGCAAAAAAAATATTCTAAAGACTATTGCTATTTTTTCCCAAAAAAAGAAAAAATTTATTTAGAGATAAGTCATTTGGCTTTAACACAGTACATTCGATGCCATTTTATTATTATCTAATATTTTTTAGTAAACATGTAAAATGTTTCACTAATGGATTTTGTAGCATTTATCTTTTCTCATGTTATGTTGATATAAAAAAAGCTTCGAAATTTATAATTTGCAATGACATGATTATCTAATCTCAACCGATGGCTTTCATTGATATGTAAACAAATAAAATTCAGAATAATAAAACGTAAAACGTATTTCTCGTAGTAAATAATCCAATCGTTAATACAGAG